CCGTTTCAGACTGCGCTAGCAATTTGCAAAGTAAACGTTCAGATGAACGATGGAGATGGTTTTGTTTAGGTTGAGTCATTCTGTACATAAACCATTTCCTCTTTAATTTTTTACATTTTCTGTCATTTTAATCTACTTTTAATTAAAATGACCCTTTTCTTTGCTTTTGGTGCTTTTACTGATGGAACACATCTCCCCAGAGCAGCGATCAAATGTTTCTAAACTGTGTTTGCTTGATTCTTACAGACAGAGGAAAAAGCTCACTCAGAGGTAAGGGCGTCCATCTTTCTGTTTGCATGTATGCTTCTCCTTATCAGCTTTCAGCTAAACAGGCTTATAGTTAGAGCCACCGATGCCTTGAAACTGCTCGGTACAGCCACTGAGCAGCTCTGTGGTGTGGGTGAAGGTTCGAGTGCCTTGTGTCTTGCTGTGCATCCCTAAAGGTTACTTTTGACCTATTTGATTTGATTTTGTGTGGGATTTAGTCTAAGATGTCACGTGCATGTCCCTGTTGGCTGATTTCTGTGTCTGAATGTCTTTGTGCTGCACAGCGTCTGTATTCAGAGACAATCTGTGCATGTCAGTCAAAGCACAAACAGTGATATCTATTTGATCTCTGAACTAAACAAAAGAGTGTTTTATGAATAAATAAAAGTCAATTCTGCAATCAATTATTTTAGCTCTATGTTGCATTGCTTTATCTAATCATGCATTGATTTCATCTAGATCATAAATATCTACACATCCTTACTATTCTGCATAGCTTATTGTTAACTCGTTACAAACACTTACTCTGTGATGGGATCCATGCCCTGACCTTTGGCTCTTGTTCAAAAAGCCTCTTCAGTTTATCACTGATTCTACTTTGATTTTCCAGTTTTATGGTGTGACTTTCATCCCTTTTGTCTCTACATGTGCTTTAAGCGTAACTTTGGGTCAAACAGTGATCGCAAATACACTGCAGTGTTTGTTTTAACCCTGCCAGATAAGAGTTTAGTATTCCGGGACAGCTCACTCAGTGCAAACTAACAGCTGTGGACTACAGTGACTGTGCAGTAAATCTAAACACATTTAGAATTCAAAACAAACAATAAAAAGGACATTATATTTTTGAGTGACTGAATAAAAATATACAGCTAATCTTATCATATGATAATCCAGAAAACTGTTCTTGCATTCTTGCACTGAGCTGTCCGCCTTGCTAAACTGAGACGTCTGGCTGTTGTGAATTATATAAGTATGAATTTCAGGTATTTGCAAAAACTTTTTGAACCATCTCAGACATAAATGTCTCCATTTCCTCGCTTTGCTGCGGAAACCATGAAAAGAACATTGCTGTGGCTTGTTGATAACCTCTGTCTCTCCAGCCACATCAGGACTTGCTATTTGATGGAGGCATGCAACATAGCGTTAATTTTTACTCTTTTCTTTTCAATCAAGGGCCAAACAGTCCAAAATTCCACGGTAATCCCCCACACTTCATGTTCACACTTCACTCCAGTGTCTTTTTAAACAGTTTCCCATGTGCCTGCACAGTTTTCTTTTTACATCAGAGTTATCACCACGGGAGTTGCAAATTCACATCGTGTTTACATCACAATCAGTCTTACTTTCTTTATGGTTTTTAGGCGCATTAACCCAACGTTCACATTTCGTTTTTCCTTCCCAACCAGCAAATCAGAAAGCTGCGTCGGGAGCTGGACGCCTCTCAGGAGAAGGTGGCGACTCTGACATCTCAGCTGGCTGCCAACGTGAGTTTATTTACTTCAAAAGGTGCCGTCAAAACAGCCTGAACATTTGCACGATAACCTGCTGTCAGAGAGCTTTTATGGGAAGAGCTGCTTATCGAAGGAGGAATACAAATCTTTAAATCCTTTGCTGTGTGTTTGAAGCCCTC